AAGGACTTATTATTTAATTCCCGATTTCAGTTTTGAATTATTCAGAATTATTTTCACGCATACATGCGCATACACACATTCACACTTCGAAGACGTATACATTTCTAAAAAGAACATCTATTTTGTTAAAACAGATTTTCAAAACGTCCAAGCAACCAGGAAAAGTAATATTCGGGTTTGATTTGAAAACACAAGTCAAAATTCCGGACAGATTTTACATGAATCTACAGATTTTCCCGTCGCCAGAAATTATAGTGGGTGTCTGTACCTGTGTGCGTTTGTTTGTTTATCTATTTGTTTTGTTTGTCTGTCTGTCTGTCTATCTATATGCTCATTATCTATCTATCTATCTATCTATCTTGTATATTTAGACAGAAAGTATTAATTTAACAAACTCTATTAAATTAAATCGACAAGATTTTCTTAATGAACTTTTAACAATTTTACAATAGGTTGTTGCATACTCGAATGAAAATTAACTGTCCAAAGTTCATAAAAGCATGCATTTTAAACAGTTTATCAATTGATTTTCTGCCTAAATGTGCAAACTATATATATATATATATATATATATATATATATATATATATATATAAAGAATTAATGGATTTATTTTATTACTTCAAGCATTAATATAGCTGACACTCCGTATTTTAAATAAATACCCAATTTTTATTTATGTGTGTGTATTACGTCTATCAGCCTGCGCATTCGAGAAATATTAATAAAGACAAATGCGTTTCCCGACACAGATCGAACCTGCATCTATTTTTGTATGGAAAACCGCCATTTTGGTCCAGTGTGCTTTATCTCTCACCTACAGAAGGCGACGGAGCAAGTGATGTTCTGTTTTAATCTTTTTCATCATGAAGCACATTCTCTTCACTCGAGAAGCTTCATATCTGCTCAGTTTTGTACCCGAAGCGTAAACAAATCAATTTCTAAAGAATTAATGGATTTATTTTCATCCGACATTTTTATTACATGAAACGTTATTATAGTCACTATAACCTCAATTTACTTCATTATTTACTGATAATTGCGCCATTATCACAATAGCATATGTGGTTGGGGATGTGACCCGAAAGGTGTTTGCCGACCGTTGTCCTATCATGGACCGTTGTCCTATCATTTTCCACAACTTTCTTCAGACCAATAAACCAAATTTGAACTGTCTCTGCTTCTTAGTAAAAAGTAAGACGTCTCTTCACGTGGAGAAAGTTTTTTTTTTCTCGTAGTATTAAATAGCACGATGCATATAGTCCGTACTGATTGCTTTTATTGTCCTTTGTAGGTACATTTTACTGATTACTTTTCAATGAAAGAGAGAAACTTTTAATTCCTAGCAGTTGCAGGTTCACGTGTTCGCTATGAGAAGAAACTTTTCACTTACACGCAAACTCACACGCGTACTTACAAAGTCTAAAAAACGTAATTTTTGTGTAAATACAGGTTTTTATTTTAAAAAATACTGCTTCTTTGTTATTTCATTGTAAAAAAAACTTTGATTGGTCCAACTTTAGTTCAGCTAGAAGTAATGACCACAACAGATTGTGTAGCCGAGGATGGCAACCAGTCTAGGAGAAGGAAAACTCTGAATTTAAAATCGGTTAGCGTGCTCAATAAAACCAGGGGTAAAGCTTAAATTTAACTCTATTTCAGGTATAGTGAAATGGCCTGTGTGACAAGTAATAGCAAAGTTTTGTCCTGGTCTACTTTCCTCCTTCAGCCGAACGTATGTTTAAATCTTAATTTAAACATTAGTCGAGAGATAAGTAACTACTTAGCAGAGACTGTCCTACCTTAAGATACTGGTTATGTAGCCCAGGTGAGTAAAAATATTATGGTGTTCACAGTTAACTATGGCTTAGTGTTGGGGACTGCATGATCTCGACTGAGGTTGAATAAAAAAAAAGAAACATGAAAAGCCAAATAATTTGAATACAGTTTTTAAAGCCTCTCCCCATCAAGTCTTTTGGTGTAACCATTGAACCGTAACCGCTATCTTTGAAAAGCGAAACACTCTCTGTCGCTGCTTGCAAATCATATTGTATCCTTTCGAAGGATTTGGCTACTTCATCACCACGTGTCCGTTGGTGCCAATAGGTTTGGCGAGAATTCCCTCGCATGGCTGTCGTCCAGATTTTAACGCGGGATGCCGTTAATGCAACACGACAACTCTTCCATAATCCGGGAACTGAGCCAGAACGAGCTTGACATCTTTGTCGAGCCGAATACAGAATAGCGAGCCATCGAGTGACAATGACGGTTAGCACCAGAAAACACCAGACGACAAATTTTTCTGCTTCGATAAAGATAGGCTAGCCTCGTTTTGACACTGACGTTGAAGCTTTTCCCTTGCACGCTTGGGAGGAATTGACCAACAAAATAAATTTGGAACAAGTTCACAAATCGATATCAGTGTAGCTTCTGCTATACAAAAAAAAAAAAAAAAAAAAATAATCACCAAAACTTAATTGCACTGAATTATGTAAATTTTCTTTATTACGACTCTCGAATGTACTGACTGGTAGATATAGTTTTACACTGTTTACAAAAAACATGGGTCTCTATTCAAATACGTATATCCACTAGATATAAAGTAATAAGAATGCCGATTATGAATTTAAAAAAATCTATTACGTCCATAGATTTTAAACATGCAATATATCCACGTTTTATTAGTTGTCTTCATGACTGACAATTGATCATCCATTTTTTTCCATGATTTTCATTGCATGACAATTAAGCTTTATTTAGTCTCATAAGACTTTAAAAACAGACATTTTAAAAGTTTACATAAATATATAGGTGTTATGGTCCAGGTTCTTGTACCACGGTGATGGTCCAAGGTAGAACCAATAAAGAAGAACTCGAACACGGATATGGAATAACACAGATATATTACAAACAAGAATATATACAGAGACGTAGACAAGTGTTAGTACGAACAATCAGGTTTAGTAGGGAGAACAATGTAGTCTCGACCAGTATCACTATTCCAATGTCTTGTAGTAATTGTCTGAACGCGACTCTGTTTCGGACTGCCTCTGACTCGACTGACTGACAGATCGCTCTGACTGGCTGACAGATAGACTCCTGACGGACTTCTAACGGACCTCACTCCAGACTTCAGGCTGAACGGTATTTAGTCACCCCCCCCCCACGTTGGCATCATGTGTCACAAGGCCGGTTTAACGTGGGATCTCCGAGCCCGTGGGCTCGGCCAAAAATATGCCCTTTGAACCCGTATAAACGGGTTTAGGGTCGGTTTACCTCTCCGAAAGAGACTCCGCCCTTCGGCGTAGCCTCGTTCAGGTTCCTCCCCGCCCGAAGGAGCCAACAGCTGACTGACACGAATGTTAACTAGCATGCTAGCATGCAAAAAAAAAAAAAAAAAATCGATAGCTGCATTCGTCACAAGTGGGAAAAATTTAAATCTGCATGGCACTTTACCCGAATTGGCTCATTCGCTTGCTTAAACTCAACGTTGATTCTGATTCCGCATAACTGGGTTGGGTGTGAAAAAGCATTTGTTGTTAACATTCTTTTTTAATTCGGTTTTTCCAGTTACGAGCCCTTTTTTAAAGCTGATCGTTTTGTGTTCATTTTGTTTAGTTCTTTTTTCGTAACAGATTTAATGTTTAGTATAGAGCTTAGAAAAAATTCTCAGTGTGAGATAGGCAAGAAGTAAGGCATGTAGCAACATCAGCATGGCAAAGGACACTCCTTTAAAGGCAAGGAAGGGCAAAAATATTTTAAGTCAAGTGATAGCGATTGCTGTATGAGTCGTACGATTTTTGAATCAAGCACGGGCAACGCCGGGCCATGTTGCTAGTTTTGTAACAATAATAATACCATACGATCGACGTTCACGCTTACCCCGATAATATACATGTTTGTTACAAAACCTGAAAAGAAAATAATCAAAAAGTAGAACCGGCGCATAAAATAATAATACACAGGAAATAATGTCGATTTTCTAAGTGAGCTTAGATGTGGCACAAGGCCGAAAGTATAGGGCACTCAGTGAGGATCCAACTCACTCGTAATTGTTCTAGCAGGGGAAGCTTGCTAACCATTACACTGCTTCGAGAAACAATGATAAATTTATTATGTTAACAAATATGTATCACGTATTCTATTTGGGAGTATTTATTTACAAAATAAAAATACCTTTATTTTTCGTATAACATTATTTTCTGCAAAAGTTTTTTTTCTCTTCTTCTATCATGAAGCTTTCTACACTTTATTTCAAAACCAATTCTTAATTTTTTCTAAATTGTGAGCAATATTCATTTAACATTAGATTCCTTCTGACTAGGGACAAGTAGAAATATAATTAAAGCTAACTATCATTGTAATTTGGCTATTTAGTTCATTTTTCATGTTCAAATAATTCTTCCTACTTAATTTATGTACCGAGTTGGTATTTTGTCATACTGAATAACTTATTAAAACATTACTAATTTTTATTGTGATTAATTATTTACTTTCATCTTCCTTTAAAAAATGAAAGTAATATATCTCTTCTCCCCTATCAAATGGGTTAAATAGTAGGACTAATATCTGAAAAAAAGATCATTACGATATCTAAAAAATTGTTAATGCAAAATTTACTCGTAAAAAAAGAATTATTCTTACAATCTCCAAAATATGTTTCGGTTTTAAATAAGCCACAAATGGTTGATAAGCCGTAAAAATCAACAAAAAAAAAAAAAAAAAAAAAAAATCCCAAAATAATGAATCAGTTACTTTCATCTTATTTTTTTTAGTTTCTGTTACTTGAATCTGGTCATCGATCAAGAGTAGCGAATAGTCAACTCAGTATTATAAAAACTCAAACACACAGCCCATCATTTTTATTTTAGGTGAGCCTGGTTAAACACGCCGGTGCTCTTGCCGAATGAATTACGAGAAATCAACTGTTTAGTGGGAAATCAGATCTAAACCTTTAAAATAACTTTTCATTCTGATGCAATGAGACGTGAGTTCGAGTC